GCCAGTGCTAGATCATATAATAGGAAAACATGTAGTGACTTATGTACTTGGCCTCAATAATATGATATCAATACTTTTTGTTAGAGGAATTCACAGCAATCCTGTACTTGGCGTAGTTTTTTACACGTAAGTGTTTTTTGGGGGATCCAATGTACATTAGTGTGCGCCTATCGATGCAGGGATGGGCGTGTGTGAGTGAACTGTACCAGTTCAAAAGTTGACGCTGGATTGTTCTAATCTTACATTGAAACTTTTGTTATTTTTCGGTCCGTAGTAATACCTTAAATAGATTTGACGATCCCATGAAACTAGTTCAGAATTTTCAAATTAAAATAAACAACGGTTCGAGTTCGAGTCAGTGAAGTTAACAGCAGTATAATTAATTTTGCATAAATTGTAACATCTGCTAAATCGAAGAGATTTTATGAGCGAGGCACAAAATAGGCCTTCTATCTATGAGGTAGCACTAATAGTATCTATCTCCAAGGACGAGACACCGCTTTGCTTAATGGGTAGATAAACCCCGGCATACATTTGCAAGCCGAACATTGTTATATTTGCGGTATTCAATGATTTAGCATTGGGTACTTCCTGACCACGAAAGTATGCTTTGAAGTCCGTCAAGGGTATATTGACGGTCTGGAATTCCTTATCAAGTGTAGGAACCTGTATAAGAAACAGATTAGATTATCAGTCACGACAAATATGAAGTCTGACGCGAAGAAATTAACGAAAATTAACTCACTTCGAAGAATGCTTCGTAGGTCGGATCTGCGTTGGAAGTTAAATTCTCATGCCGCAGCACAATCTTATAATTGCTATTGTTTCCCTGAGCTCTACATGTTATCGTTATATTTTCATATGGTGACAGATCGAAAGATACTCGTGTTCTCATGCCGGCAAAGGCAGCACCACTTGGAAGCACGTTTAATAATGTGAAAAGTATTGCTCGTTGAAAGACTTGGGTCGTTTCTAAGACCAAGGTCGCCTTCGATTTTCCCACAGTTCTTACAGTGTCCGATTGTTCACTCCAATTGTCCAGATTACTTATAGTTGTAAAATCGAAGAGAGTAATACTGTCTCTGAAAAGGAGATTTTTCTTGGTATTAAACTTGGTATAAACTTGGCATTAAACCGACTGTTGTTTCAAACTTGATAAACATTACTAGGATTTAAAAGTATTCAGTGCTTCAGTACCGATAAAAATTCGAGGAAACCCATAGGGTCACACCAGTTCTCAATTATCACTGATCTATTGATAGGTGCAGTGAGTTTGCGAGGATCTATGATTTACCAAGTTATGTGCTTGTTAGGATTTTAAAATTCAGTATTTCAGCCAATACAAGATTCAACAAAGTCACTTATATATCAGCTGAGCGACAGTGCATGGCTATAAAATAATATTGTGACGTGATTTAGCGATTCACGGTCACAAGGCGACTCCGGGTACCGATACAGATAACGTTCTCGATCTGGGATTCCTTGCGGGTCACTACCCTGCTCAGAGGCTACGTTGTCGGGTTTATTTGTATAGTTATGTCAATGCTCTCGGAAGATTTCGATATTGTTTAGTTGAGGTCGAGGTGCTCGAATCTGCCGTGGGGAGATAGTCTCGACGTACCGAGTTGCCTGGCAGAGGAGAGTACCCGACGAAGACGTCTCCACGGACCAGCAGAAGCCCGGGGGAGATATCGGCGCCCCGCTAGAGATGGGCAAAGGGCTGTAGAGCGGGCGGCGATAGAGTCGTGATACGGTTAAGTGCAGGAGAGGAACCTCCTGCCCGAGTTAAGGATGTAGTGCCCAGCTGTCGCCCGATACCCTGGGGAAGCAGCCGTGGAGGATCTCCAGAAATTACGTACCAGTTCGCTAAGGAACGCTCTCAATTTGGTTTAAAGGGAGGACTCGAGGGAAATGGAAGAGGCATTAGCTATAAGGATCTTGACCAATCAGAATGATTAGTTCTCGAATTTGACTATTGTCAAAGCAGTCTGTCTCGGGGCACCAACCGAGGTGTCACGAACTGGCTCGCGCTCCCATGCTATCTGTTGATAGTTTTTCTAGCCGTGTTTCGATACGGTGTAGCAAGTTCTGATTCGTATAACATAGTTCTCGCGTTGTTCTTGCGATATCCAAGAAATTCTACGAATTTTCTGTGAGTGTTCCGGAGGGGTAGTGCTGTGCCCTAATGCATTGCCCACCTGAGTGTCCTCTGGATACAGTTCTCGGCCTTTTCGGATCATCAGCACCAGCTCTAGTGAGAACTCCCAATTTATTAATTGGTGAAGGGATTTCAATTTGATAGTTCAGATTCGTTCTGTTACGTTCTCGATTCGTCGCTCTCTGTCTCTCGCATTATTTGCCTGATTCTTACTCCGACCGTCTCTACCTCAACCTAGCAGTCTGAGCGACCGTGAATTTCCGTAACCGTCTGCTCCCGTTCGTGCATCCAGTTGCGTTTGCTGATTTCACGCGATCCCCAAGATCAGCACCTACGGTTGCGTTTCCCGATTTTACGCGTCCCCAAAAATCAACAGGATCCGTTAACTTGTCGTCTCTTGTGATAGATTCCATCAGAGCTCTCGTTTTGGTGGAGTTGGGTCTGTTCCACCCCAACTCCCAGTTCATACAGGCTCGTCAGTTCCCGATGAAAAAAGACTTGGCTGGCGCCCGTCTGGCTTCCGGATGCATGAGCGAAGGGTGGACGGTCAAAGGTAACGTAGGTTGGTTTTCGAAAATAGTTCTATATCGGTGTCGAGTCAAGAAACAGATTACGTTACAGCATACAAGTAAAGTTGACATTTATCCAAGAAAAATCAAGAATAATCCTCGAAATCAAAAGTTCAGTATATCACACAATTAATAATTTGTGTCCTTTTTTAATGGCCGCTACTGTGCATAAGTGACGTGCACAGATGCTTCATATACAGGGTTCGTCAGTCGAAACGCACCAGCAGAAGTTCGCCGCAAGTGGCCGACACGGCAGTGGGGCCTTTTCAAAAAATGACATGTGACTGTGACCGATTCTCATAAGCGCGAACTGACAGTTCGCATAGCATAGTTCGTATAGGTTACTGAAATAATTAATTAATATTGTAATGACAAAATGTAATATCAGTTAAGATTTGTTTTGACAACAGATTTTTTGCTACACCTTTTCTGTATAAAAATATTTCAATTAATTGATTTTTAAATTAATTGCAGCATTGTATTGCAGAAATGCAGTTGTGATCATTACTTGGAAATATCAAAATTGTGAATATTTTAAACATTACATTGTTTTAATTGCAATCTGTTTTGAAAATAAATCTTAACTGATATTATATTTTGTCATTACAATATTAATTAATTATTTCAGTAACCTATACGAACTATGCTATGCGAACTGTCAGTTCGCGCTTATGAGAATCGGTCACAGTCACATGTCATTTTTTGAAAAGGCCCCACTGCCGTGTCGGCCACTTGCGGCGAACTTCTGCTGGTGCGTTTCGACTGACGAACCCTGTATATGAAGCATCTGTGCACGTCACTTATGCACAGTAGCGGCCATTAAAAAAGGACACAAATTATTAATTGTGTGATATACTGAACTTTTGATTTCGAGGATTATTCTTGATTTTTCTTGGATAAATGTCAACTTTACTTGTATGCTGTAACGTAATCTGTTTCTTGACTCGACACCGATATAGAACTATTTTCGAAAACCAACCTTCCCTGTATACGAATAAAGTGCATTTAAATTTTATAATGAAATTTAACGACTGCAATCATTCATTACTGTAAATAATCAACTCGTTCTTGCTCCGTCGCTCTCGTGTGATAGTTAAACTCTGGTACTTAGGAAATTTTTTATGTTAAAATTTGTCTTTACAAAGGTTCAAGGAATCACTGATAAACTATAATGATTACGAAAATTTAATAGATCGCCGAAAGTACATGTAAAACAATTGAGTCGTAAGATATTATTTATAAAGTCGACTCTGTTCAATTACCATACTAATTTTAAAAATACACTATGGATATTATACGTGAACTACACAAGTTGCGCGAGTACACAAGAATCCGTATCGACTGTTACCAATAGAAATGTAACATGTTTTACAATACAGATTTTTCATTGCAGACACTGAGCCCAAGTCAAAGGACACAGAGGATTCATTATTAAAAGAGTTGATTACAAATATGTATATTCTTACCCATTAGTGGCATCTGATAACAGAATGATACCTATGGCGAGGCCCATAAACTTGATTAAGGAACTTCCGGACGACATTTCTTTCTATAAAATAGACTGCACTTGTACTACCGATACAACTAATGCGTATTGGGCAAGTATGCGGTATGTAAGGCGCTACGCTTACGTGATTATATGTGTTTCTTCTAATCGTCCGCAGTTGGAGAAACGTGAAGTGCTACTGGTTTTTGAATAAACTGCTACTATTTAACAGTAAATTTTTGCGGTAACGTGACACTTCTGAAAATACGTATTGTTTGCTTATCCTTAGTGATAAATAAGTCATTTGGAATTAATTATGTTGATTTGAAATTTAAATATTCGATTACTTTAATTAATGTGAAGTATAGGCTCGATTGTATGGAGTATGAGTTGTTTTTTTGGAAGGCTAGCAGGTTCTGGGCAAACGTGGCAATGATGTCTGTGCAAATAGTAACAGCAATCTACTACACTGAAGTTCACATAACGACTCTGGCACTGTTGGAAATCCTGAGAGATCTATCTATCAGTGATGCATCACGTATCTAAAAATTTTTCATTCAGGCGCGGTGGATAATATTATCTGGTAGAAAACTGGAATCCTTTGCAGGACCATTATCTTCGAGATACGCGCACTTTTGGCTGTGTCGGTATTTTTCGTTCCATTTCTGAGCTGATACAAAAAGGCGAAGTCGAAGATTGCGATCTCATTGATTTTTAAACAAAATGTAAAAAAGCAGTATTATTCCATGTTTGCTTATCTAGTACAAATTTGTAAATTGGAACCATATGGTTAGCTAGATGGTTTGTAACCGCAGAATCTAATAATGTGATTTGATATGGAAGAATATATACGCTTTTTAGGATTCCGTAGAAATCTAGGAACCTTTATGGTTTCTGTCAGTCCGTTCGTCTGTTCGTCTGTTTGTATGTCACAGACCTCCCATTCTCATTTCTGGACCGATTAAGATAAAATTTGGTACACAGACGTAGATCGATGACTCAAAAACAGAAATGATAACATTAAAAAAAAATTTGTTTACCTCCATCCCACAGACTAAAAAGTAAACTCGAAATTTGTTGCTCATCTCATCGAATGAGGTGTCTTTTAATAGGTCTCTTCAAATGCAGTTTAAAAGGTTCTTAGAACTTCTCATTTTAATCCTTAAGTCACGAGATATTTGCTTTCAAAGTGGTTATCAGAGTGCCCCCCCCCCCCAATTTCTAAACTGTCGATGCGAAAAATCTGAAAAAATTCTAAAATGTAGCTTTCAATTAGTACGTCCAATCAAATTTATAACGAACGCTATATCAAAAATAGTTTACGAAAAATATAAAAGTAACTTTTTTTCGATATGGTTTAGTGAAGATTACATCTTTTGCCAATAGCTACTACAGAATGACTATGGAACCCTATCATGTGCGCGCTCAATACACTACTTGACTATTTTTTTAATATTACAACTATTTAACATTGAGATATTTTTTAAAAATTTGGTGTATTTGAACCTTTAGTTAAATGACTTTATTAGAAGAAATTATTGAAATGAGCTACTATTATAAAAATAATAAATGTCAATATTAGTAACACGGAAGGTATTTTAGATGATTCCTCCGATTCTGATGAAAGTCAAATATAAACTGAATATTTTTAATATCGTATATCTGCGTAAGTTTGTATTATGACGTATACTGTACATCGGCGTCGCCTACGAATAATTCGCGGCTGCTCCCGGCGTGCTGAAATCTAAAAAGATCCGAAAACCTAAATGTTGGGTGCCAGATGCGGCTTTCCCGCACCACTGTCTCTCCTGACGGCCGATTCCAATTTTCCCGGCGGCTCAGCCTCAGCGCACTGAAAATGATAGAGGGGAACATGGGGGCGACGAGAGAGAATTTCGGAGTCGGTGGATAGGCGAACAAAATGACTACCCAGCGAGTAGAATACCGTTTTGTTTATTACAGCTAAATAAACGAAGGACTTTGTAATACAAATCCGGTCGCGTACAGTGTGCTCCCCAACGGCGGCTCACGACTATCTGGAGTCGTGGTGGCTAGCCCGCCCAAGACTTGTCCCTATATCGGTGTGCTTACCGAGTCCGCGAATCCCCTTCGCAGTGTGATTCGCGATTCTAACATTTCTCGTTGGAGACGAGCTTCCCCTTAGTAGGGAGGTGCACTCTGACGACGGTAGTCACCCTAGCCATTCGTGTGTCCGCGCCACGTCCGCTCGACTATCTTTACGCGCGAGACATTCTTTAAAATAAGCGTGCTCTCGCGGTACTTACCGAAAATTGGCAGTTCCATAAATCCTTTAAAAAATCAAAACACCGACAGCAGTCTTCCTTTCGCCCACTTTCATGGTGCCGCGTTCCGGCTCCACGAGGCGTCTACTGCGCACTCGATGTCTCACACACTCGGCCATGCACTGACACTATATTAAAAAAGAAAAAACGGTAGCCATGGTTCTCTGGGAGAAATCCCGATAGGCGCGATCCCCGATTATCCGATAGTTCGACTATCGTTCAAGCACGGAAGAAGAATTCTTTTTCTCGCGGTCTGCCGGACACCCGAGTCCGTACACACGGATCTTCCGCGTCTGCAAACTGTAATCGGGCAAAGTTCCCGGGGTAACGATAGTGCCTCCCGGCGGTTGGGCACCACTTGCGTGGGGCTCTCAACCCAAAAGGGCCCCGTGCCTACGCTACCGGTCTACTACTTTCCGCCGTTACCTGCTCCCGAACCACGGACCAACGAAATCCTTAGAGATGGAGGCCGGAGGCACCGCCGTGCTGTCGGCAGCGCGCGGAAGTGTGGAGCTTTTGAATCTGTCGTCCTGACGCCACGTTACAGTATATACATCGTTGTGAACATTATAGTTTGTATTTCATTACTTTTCAAACGTGGATTCACCGAACCGTAATTTTTTAATGTGAAGATTACGATATTCACGATGACTAATGAGACGCAATATCGTATCTGTCAGTGATCAGTTACTTTTAATGAATTTCACCCGCAAAAGTTAGATATTTTCATGTTGACGTAATAGAATGCATTTAAGGGTAGTTACTCCCCGGAGTAAAAATTGAAAAATTGTATTCTTTCACTATCTGCTATTGTGAATTTCAAAATTTGATTTTCGAGCACGATTTTAGCGACCTACAAAACCTTTAGATACAAGAGTTTGCAATGACTTTGCGAGAAACAAAATGTTAAAAAACAAAAACAAAATATTACCTTTCTATTTACTTTTTACTTTCAACCTAGAATATAATTGACAGATCTGTTCTTTCTGTGAGAGCATCTTTGATTGCTTATGATATGCCTACTCTTAATATTATATTTAGATTTAATAAAGGGTAAGTAATTATATATATATAGAATATTATCGGTGTTGATATTAAGTGTAATCGGGCTTCGGAAATATTTGATCAATTTCCTACGGGAATAATATACATATGATATATCTGTAACTGTGTACATATATAAATCTTAGCAAATTGTGGGGAAATGGTTATACGTATATTGAAACTGAACGTATCCGGTTACAACGCGGCATTTATTAAACGACCTTTACATTTTTGCTTAGCAATAACTTACTTACAAAATTAGTACTAAGAATAGATAGACAATACATTTGGTAGAAAATCAGATATGTTCGTGAAATCGTAATCAAATCTAAAAATGTTCTCAACTGTCAACCGCAGGGACTGATTACTACTTTGATCAGGATTATAAAGTTTCACAAGATGAACCATTAATTCATTGTTACGTGGTTCTATGAAGTTTTGTTTCTCTATGTACACGCTTTTGTACCGAATTTTATGCTCGTAAAATATTGAATAGAGCGTTCTTCACCCAGAACTATAGTGTACCAATGCAAGGATGAAATTCGAGGCATTTCAGTTAATGGATTTGACGATCCCATGAAAATGGTTCAGAATTTTCAAGTTAAAACAAATAATGGTTCGAGTCGGTGAAGTTCACAGCAGCTTTAGCGCTTCGTCGTTAAACTATGATCGAATGAATTTCGTCGTATAAATTGTAACATCTGCTAGATCGAAGAGATTTTATGAGCGAGGCACAAAATAGGCCTTCTATCTATGAGGTAGCACTAATAGTATCTATCTCCAAGGACGAGACACCGCTTTGCTTAATGGGTAGATAAACTCCGCCATATATTTGCAAGCCAAACATCGTTATATTTGTGGTATCCAATGGCTCAGCATCAGGTAATTCCTGACCACGGTAGTACGCTTTGAAGTCCGCTAAGGGTACATCGATGGTGTAAAATTCCTCGTTAGATATGGGAACCTGCATAAAAAGTGTGATTATCAGATATAATATAATGAATCGAATGCGAATAGCACTAATTAAAGCAATTTACTGTGAAGAATTTTTCGTAGGTCGGATCTTCGTTGGAAGTTAAATTCCTGTGTCTCAGCACAACCTTATAATTGTTATTGTTTCCTTGAGCCCTACATGTTATCGTGATATTTTTGTATGCTGACAGATCGAAATCTACTGGCGTTCTAACGCCGGCAAAGCCAGCACCATTTGGTTGCGGATTTAATAACGTGAAAAAAATTGCTCGCTGGAACACTTGGGTTGTTTGCAAGACCAAGGTCGCCTTCGATTTTCCCACAGTTCTTACAGTATCCGATAATTCATTCCAATTGTCTAAATTGGTTATAGTTGTGAAGTCGAACAGAGTCATCTTGTTTCTGAAAGGGACATATTTTTGGCATTAATTATTGCAATAAAAGCGACGGTAGCTTCAAGTTTGGTAAGCATAAATAGAATTTAAAAATATTCAGTTCTTAAGTACAGATCAAAATTCGAGCAAGCGCATAAGAACAGACCAGTTCTTGAAGTCAATCGTGTAACTCAAATGTAGTGAAAATACGAAAAGTGAATAGTTGTTGGTCAATCGCGTGTTAGGTTAAAAAGAAGACAAGCATAACGATTGGCTAACAGCTCTTCACTTTTCGTGTTTTCACTGCATTTAAATTACACAATCGACCCCCCCCCCCCCTTAACCACTAATGATCTATTGATAGG